TTAAAAATTAATATTTTTCACCTTTTCTTTGATAAAAAAATTAATTTTTTATTAAAAATATTGTTGAAAATAATGAATTATTTTATTAAAAACATTGTTGAAAATAATTAATTTATGATTTAAACCAATATTATTGATTACAATATTACTTTTTTTGATAACATAATACATCTTTTTGACCAATATTTCCGTTTATAGCAAGTAAGAGTTTTGCTTTTTATAAAAACGATTCAGAAAAAATTTAAAGAAAGAAAAAAGTTGAGTGCTGCCATCTACCTTCTAAAAAGCTCGGCTATATTGATTTTATCGACAAATTTTTTCTCATGCATTTTAGGTTATGTTTATAAGCTGTCACTTTTTAATTATCGAATTGCACATTGTCTTTGATTTTCTGTTATTTTCATTTTCAAATTAAATAGTGAAATGGTCTCCGCAATTGTACTATTACCAAAATATCTGAAAAAAATTCGTTTAATTTTGAGTCGATTCAATTCGGCCATGATTGATATAAATTGATTAAATTTTTTGCATCAAAAAATGAGACCGTTTCCTTTATCATTTCTAAAAATGATACACAAAACGATCTCTTTTTGATATAACTTATGTGTATCAAAACGTTGCAATAGAAAAAGATACAACCAAGTTTACTGTGATTAACAAGCTTGTGCAAATTACTTGACACAATTTTTCAGCTCTCCTAATCGAGTATAGCGATTATTTACCCCTCTTTTTTTTCTTCTTCTATATATCTTCACTAATTAAAAGAGTTAAAAAATATAGACTAATTCAGTTTACTCTTGTAGTAAATGCTGCGAGCAAAATCGAGTGGAAGATTGCCACACTATATAGCTTTTGAAAATCGATATCTGAACATCTAGGACTTCTCATATAACATATTCCAATGATCTTTTCTATTTTCTATTTTTTTTCCTTATATTCCACATTTAGTTTTCTCATGGAATATAATATCATCTAATTGTTTGTCTGCTCTTTTATTTCCACACCTTCATCCTCTCCTTAACCTGTGGCATTTGAAGAAATTAGTTTATTCCGCGTGTGCGTGAAATACATCATTTTTTGAGATATATTTCAAGCAAAAGAAGAAAAAAAAAGAAGAAGAAAAAGAAAAGGAAAAAAGTAAACAAAATCTGAAAAACGAGGGGATGTATCTTTGATTTTCAGAGTTGAAACTCGTGTATGACACGAGGGAGTATAGCTAGATCTGGGACGCGAACTCTGGCCTTTCGTGTCATTGGTCTCTGACACCGAGCGCTGGAAAGAGATTATAACCCTTACCTAGAAAACGCAAACCACCTCGGAAAACACTTTTTTTTTATCCTCCCATACTCAATTTCCTTTGCGACTCCCACTCAAAAACATTTTCTTTTTATTTAACGCATCATATTTTTTGACTGACATTTTCAGAAAATGCGTGTCAAGCTTTCTAACAAATGAAACGCCCACGTTTATGAAAGCATCATTAGCTGTGATGAGTTTCAGTTTATTGATATTATTTTTTTTTTATCCAGAAACTTGAATAAAGTTCTATTTATTTTATTTATCATTATTTATTTATTTGTTAATATATTTAATTATTATTAATTCATTATTTATTTTTAATTATTAGTTTATTTTCTCCCTATATATGTGTCCTGACGCGGTGAAAGGGACCTTACGGTTCCAAAGCAAATTTCACAGGAGAGGCGCTCGAAGTGTAGCACGAAAATAGACATTTGAGTAGTGGGGACGTACAACTGCAAATCAGCACCACTGCTCACCACTACAACGCTACACTCATATGTCTGTGAGCATGCTACCTTCGTGCATCTTCGGCTCTACCATATCTTGTACCTCCCTACTCTTTCTAAGCTCTGATGTAAACATTGCCCTGGGCCCGGCAAATGGATTCATTTTCTATTAAAGTTAATCGATTAATTTTGATTGACAAAATAATACGTAAATAACTTGAAATATCTTGTTCGGATTTGTCGGATTAATTAGATGAGGGCGAGCTGATTAAGAAGCATCTCCATTTTTAAAAGTAATTTTGTGGTTATAAAAGTTGGATTTTTGACAGAAGTGGGGACAGACATTGAACAACAGCCGCTGCTGAACTAACTTACCCCAAATTACTCCACTTTAAATCTTTAATAAAATAATTTCCTCACAATATTATTGCAAAAATAATATTCCTCTATTATTCCTCCAAATGCCAACTCGAAATACTTTATCCTTTAAAGATGAGAAGAAATTTACGAAACCCCTTTTTGACAATGTTTAAACATTTTTTTAATAATTATTTATTAATTCTCTGAAAATCGTTGTTATCAAATAAAATTAATTTTTATTATTTATTTTATCAACAGAGAAATTTTCAATTTTTACTTTTCTTACAACAGTAAAAATAACATTACTTTTGCTGTATAAATAAGTTATATGTCTTGAATTTAAAATATAAATTATTATTATTATTATACATTATTAAAATAATGAAAATCTAATAAATTGTTTATTGCAATTTTACTGGCTTTAATATGAGATAAATCCATTTTCCGGGCCCAGCGCAATGTATACATTAGAGCTTAGAACTAGTGGGGAGAGACAAGAAATGGTAGAGCCGAAGATGCACGAAGGAAACACGCTCACCGATATACGAGGGTAGCGTCGTAGTGGTGAGCAGTGGTAGTGGTTTTGCAGTAGCCACGAGGCGCCCGAGAATACGCGGAAAAGTACTTATGTTTAAAGCTATATAACACAATAAGTATTTGAAGGAGACAAATTTTAATTGTTGGAAATGAAAAAGCAACTCAAAAACTATCGATTGGTATAAAAAAATAAAAATCGATTTATTTAATCATAAGGTCCCTTTCACCGCGTCAGGACACATATTATAAAAAGTTTTCGCTATCCGGTAGTTGTATTAAGCATGTTAAAAATATATGTTAAAAACGAACATAACCTCAAAACTCAAGGTCATATGACAAAAAAACACTGAAAAAAAATTATTTGATTCAAATACTCGATTACTTGACTATTATCAAATAAATATTTATTTGTATCAAATAATTATTATTTAAGTCAATTTAAACGAGGTACATTGAAAATGGACCAAATTTTGGTACCCGCTTAGTTTCATGAAAATACGGAATGGAACACAAGCGCTCTCGTGGGAAGTATGTAAACAGTGGGAAAAATTGGAAGTACGTTGAACATAACCCAAAAATACATTGCTCCTTTTATTTAAAACTTTTACAATGGCTGACTGTCCAGCTGAGTTTAACACAATCAGTGGCGCTAGTGTTCCATTACGTATTTTCATGACACTAAGCGGTTACCAAAATTTGGTTCACTTTTAACGCAGATTTAACATGGTCGTTCGGTCTCCTTATACCCGCCGTTTCAACATGTCATGTTGAATGTAATTTCAATTAATATTTAATCAACGATTAAATTAAATGACCGATTTTGAGCGATTTAACAGGCTTTAATTAATAATTAATTATATTTCAATCAGAATTAGTGAACTTGGACCAATCAATAACATAAATGAAAAATCCAAAAATCAAAATGTAATTTTTCTATCGATTCACAATCTATTTGTAAATTTAAGCAAATTTTTAGGTTAATTTACATTTGGGTTGTGTTTTTACTTTAAGGTTATGAAATAACTCTCAGGTTATGTTTCTTTACTTTACGAGGGACGCATGGTAACTTTTTTCCAACGTCCGACGTAGTAAAATTATATCCAAGCAGCACGGTATATTCCCTGAATATCCGTTGAATACCACAGTGGAATATTCTCATGATCTTCTAGGAAAATCAAAATGTCCGCATCATGGGAATATTCCAAAGTGACATTCAGGGTATATTCCAGTGACATTGAGGGAATATTCCTTGGTGACATTCATGGAATAATCCAGTGACATTAAGGGGATATTCAGGTGATATTGTGGAATATTCATTTAATATTACCTTTAATGTCACTGGAATATTCCCTGAATGTCACCGTGGAATATTTCCATGATGCGGACATTTTGATTTTCCTGGAAGATCATGGGAATATTCCACGGTGGTATTCAAGGGATATTCAGGAGATATACCGTGTTGCTTATATACTTGCATTTTTTTTGTGCAAAATTAGGTTAAATGTAAAAAAAACTGCTGGGTTTAAAGATAAAATCTGAAAATATAACCTCAAAATTGAGTTTCTTGAGTCATATTTAAATATACAGGCAATTTAATAGTTTGATTTCTATTAATTTAATTTAGAATATTAATATTTGCAAGGCTTGAAAAAAATTATAAGCCTTAAAGTTGAAAATCGTTGTGATTGGCGCTCAGGGGGGCGAGATCTGTCAAATTAATTATTGATTTGTTTTTTTTTTTATATATTATTATTAATTTATTTGTAATTATTGATTTAATTTTGTATTTTATTTAACATTTTTTTCTAAATGTTAATTTAGTATTATATACACGGAAAAAATTACTAAGAGCATGGGGGATCGAACCCGAGTTCGACGCACGCAAGTTAAGAACGCTAACCAATATACTAAGATGAATAGATGTCTGAGCTAACAATTTTTTTATTTCCATATTAAATCTTTAAAAATATTATACATATAAAAATGTTGATATCAGAGGTAGAAAATAATTTTCTTGAAACAAATATATTAAAAAACAAAAAATGACAAACATAACCTCAAACTCACCATGTGGATTTCTCCTCTCATTTAATAATTAAAATTAAAAATTTTTTTACTTAACTTTCAATAAGTGTGCTTATAGTCTAATTGCGATAAAATACAAAAATAGAAATAAACTTTAGCTTCTCATTTTTAATGCCCAAAAAGAAAAAATTCATAAACATAACCTAAAAATGTTTGCTTCTATTATGTCGTTTTTTTTTGTAGAGTGAATTATATTTATATTTGAAAGTCAAATTTGAAAATATATTGCAGTTCTCAATTTCAGAATTAAAATATATATTTTTTTTGTAGGGCATCAGAAGGTGGGCTTGCGCCAGATGCGGCAGGAGGTGCAGGAAGCGATGGAATCGTCGGAGGTCCAAGAACACCCCAACAGATTGCATCGCAAAAACGATTACAGCAAACGCAAGCGCAAGTCGACGAAGTTGTCGATATTATGAAAACAAATGTCGAAAAAGTTCTCGAACGTGATCAAAAACTCTCAGAACTTGACGATCGAGCTGGTAAATATTTTTTTATAAAAAAAAAAAAAATATATAAATTTATCATTTGAAATGTGAATCAAGTTTAGAAAAATAATAATAATTCAATAATTATTAATAAAAAAAAAATAATAATAATTCAAATAATATAAATTAATATTAATAATTATTGTTAAAAATAATAAATAATTAATCGTATTAATAGTAAATCATTTTTACATTGAAATTTAATTTATGAATATTATTGGTTTTTTTTTTTTTTTTTTTTTCTCAATTTTTTTTGACTTTTTTAAAAAATTTTATTTTAAGTATATTTTACGATATTGTAGAAAATAGTTTTTACAAAAAATTTCTGAGGCTATTAGGATCTATAGATAATCCCCCTGATATATTATTATGTGAAGAAGGAAACGATGAGTTATGAGTATATTTCCCTGCCGTTTGCTCTTATATATATATATATGTATATATGTGCGTTCAGGAATCCTATCAAACTAAAGTTTCTTGGCCTACATTTAGTAGCCTATTTACTTTGCGACGATCAAAGAAAATATTGATTACTTCCCAACCTTCCTTTAAGTTCGAAACGGCAAAAAAAAAAGACTGAATCAATAATTATTATATACATATAGTAATATAAAATCGCTGCACAATGTCTGCAATACTATGAAAATTAAAATTGTTACTATATTGTACCACAAAAGTATAATCATTGATCGTTTTTTAAAAATTTTTAAAATTACTTAAAAGTACCTAACGTATTTTAAAAGGTTCTTTCTTATATTATTATAGAAAAATTGTAAAAAAAAAAACTTAAATTAATTAACACTATGTAAAAAAGAACTCAATTGTTTATGTATTTTTTTTTTTTAATTAACAATATATGAATATTTTATAAATATATTTTTTTTGAATGCTTATATTTGAAACAAAAAAAAATAATTTACAAGACTTTTTTTTTTTTTGAAAAAATGCATCAATTTTTAATATATATATATTTTTCTTTTTGAAAATTGTATATTTTAAAATGAATTTTTCAAAAATTTGATACAAATAAATAATTTACTACATCCAGTAAAAATATTTCTTTGATTCAAAGTAATCAATTTTTGTTTTGACAAATTATTCTTTGATACAAAGAAAATTTATTTGTTTCAAATAAATTATTTTTGATTCAAAAAAAATTATTTTCGTTTCTAAGAAATTTTTTATTTAATTCAAATAAATGTTTCTTTCACCCTATATATATCAATGTTAGAATTTCTTTGATTTAATGCACAAATTTCTTTTATTTCTTTGAATTAAAGAAATTTTCTTTGGAAATAAGAAACTTTTTTTGTTTCGAAGAAAATTTTATTTTGAATGAAAGAAAAGAAGTCAAAGAAATTAGTTTCTTTAAATTAAAGAAATCTTTTCTCTGGGTTTAGATTTTTGTTTGAAAAATGAATCATTTTAAAATAAAATACTTTTATTTAAAAAATTAAATTAAATTAAATTATTTAAAAATTTGACTACCTAACAAAAAATTAATTTACTTTTTTTTTTTGTAATTCACAGATTAAAATGTTTTTTAAAAAATTATGTTTAATTAATTAATTAATTATTAATTTGTTTTTGTTAATTTAAAAAAAATATATTCTAACATTTTTTTTTCATGTTGCTATACAATATCAGACTGAAAATTTGTGTGAATTTTTACAAAACAAATAAACGAACTCAATGGATAGAAACAATTTTTTAAATAAGATTTTTAATCCATAAATATTACAAAAAATCTAGTGATATAATTAATATAATATAATTTTTTGCATTAACTGTTTTGAAAAATTCAATTAAAAATAAGTACCTAATTAAAAAAAAAAATATTTAAATTAATTCTTTTTTTAAAAAAATGAATTATATATGAGCATTCAATGAAAAATGAATCTAGAATTTTTGAAAAATTTATTTATCTCGTTAATGATTTGATAAGAAAATAACATGGAATTTGACTATTTTTGAAAAATAAGAAAAATTGTAAAATAGTTAAAAATTACACGAAGCTGAAGTACGCAACGTTTATGATAAACGATTTTTAAAGAAATCATTTTTTAAAATGAAAAATTCTATAATTTTTTGCCTAAAAAATATTTCTTGTAGTTTTTATTAATCAATAAATTATAAAAAATATATTTTATAGACAAAAAATTATAGAATTTTTAATTTTAAAAAGTTATTTCTTTAAAAATCGTTTATCATAAACGTTGCGTACTTCAGCTTCGTAAAATTACAATATGAAAACTGAATTGAACGATCAGTTAAAAATTACATTTTTTTAATTTTTCATACTGGAATATAATTTTAAGTTCTGAAAAAATGTAAAAAAAAAAAAAATTGTTACTACTAAACAAAGTCAATTTTGATTGATCTAAATTGTTAATGGTGATTTTTTCAAATTTAACTTTTTCCACAATTTTTATAATATTTCATTGCCAAATTTTCCATGCCCTTTTTTTTGATTCTGAACAGTTAATGGTATTAATTTTTTCGAAAAATAAAATTTCTAAAATATTCAAAAATATTTTTGCTTTTTAATTAACAACAACAACAACAACAACAATAATTATTAATTTTGATAGGTTGAAATTTCACTGGTCCTTACCCTTAAAGCCTATTATAAAATAATTTTAATAAAAATCACTTTTTTTATATATATATTCATAAATAAACAATATTTCTTCTGCTTTTAGATGCGTTACAACAAGGAGCGTCGCAGTTTGAACAACAGGCTGGTAAATTAAAAAGGAAGTTCTGGTTACAAAATCTAAAGGTCAGTTTATGCTTATTATACTTTTATTAATTTATTATCATAAAAATTATAATAATGAATAATTAAAATTGTTAAAATTATTAACAATTAATAATAATTTAAATTATTTATAATTATTGTAATAATAATAAAAAATTATCATTACTTTCTAAATTTTAATTCGTGAAAATTCGTTTGCTAATATTCAAATTAGTAGAAATTTTCACTAATTTTAATTAGTAAACGAATTCTCATTAATTTAAATTTCTTTCTAAATTTTTTAATTAGTGAGATTTCATTGATGAAATGAAATTTAACAATTGAATCACTTCAGTAAAATTTCCAATGAAAATTAGTAATATTTAACAGACAATTAGTAAAATTCTTTACTGATAGAAACAGTCAAATCTGTTTTACCGATTAATGATATTATAGATTTGACTGCTTAAATCAGTAATAATTCGACTAATTTTCAGTGAAACGTCACTGAATTTCAATGGAAATTTTACTAAAGTGATTTAGTTGCTAAATTCCAAATATTTAATCACTAAAATGTCAGCGATCCAAATTTAAAGAGTAAAGAGTACAAAAAAAAAATCGTTTACATGATTATTAAAAATTTCTTTTTTTTTTTACTAACGAAATATAAATAAATTACAGATGATGATAATTATGGGAGTCATCGCGCTGATTATATTAGCCATCATTGTTTGTAAGTAACAATTTTTGAATATTTAAAGCTATAAATACTGCCACTTAATTGTTCGTTGTCGAGAAGTAAATGTTTTGTGTACGTCGATGTATATCTCGCCGTACTTTTAAACGACACATTCAGGACCAATTAATTAATAAATATATTTATTAATTTTTCAATATAAACAATTATTTTTTATAAAAATGAAAATTTACTTATTTTAACAGCATAAAAATTATATGATTTGTTTAGTCACATTAATTTAATTATTTTTTTTCTACCCTAAGAAAATAATTTCTATACTTTTTTTGCTATATAAAAATATTGTACATAAAAATATATTTATTTTTTAATATGATTAATAATTAATTAATAATAATCAGAATATATGCTTACATTTTCTTCTACTGGTCGTTAAAATATTTTAAAATATATAAAAAGAAAAACAAATAATAACAAAATATTAAGGAAGTGAATAATATAAGAATGTAAAAAAGAAAAAAAAAGTGAATTTACATTTATAAATTAGAGAAATAATTTTTGCAAGAAAAGAAAAGAGATTCTAATATATTAAACTTTAAGATTAAAATATTAGAATGTTTTTTAAAGATTTAAATATTTTATTATCATAGACAAAAATTAAAGGAATAAATTAATTTTAATCAATTAAAAGTAAAAAAAAATTATGTCTTGAATTCGTCGTTTTTTTTTTGCTATCATTCTGTTCAATCTATATACATCTTCTATGCTCATAAAGGACTCAAAATGTATGCACGATGTAAAAAAAACTATAAAGTAATGCTATATATTAATCATTATTATATTACAATCAGGAAAAAAAAGCAAAATTACCTCTCTTAGCATTTTGCAAACGCTAAATGGTTATTCGCTTAATAAGTTTATTTCAAATTTTTTAACATTACGGATTTATCGTTATTTATAATACACATATATATATTCTAATTATATGTATGTGTTTACAATTTTTTTATCCAAATGATTAAATATATATAAAAAAAACAGGCGATAAAAGATTTATAAGAAAAAGAGTTAAAAATAGATATTAATGAACATAGAAAAAAAATAAAAAAAAAATAGAGATGGTAAAAAATATTTTACAATAAAGGTTAAATAATATAACTAATATATCATATAATAATAATAATTCCATAATTAATTTAGTATTTAATCTATCAATGAATTTTATGTTCTTTATAGTAAATTTCTGTTTACTTTTTTCTCTCAAAAAATTAACGTTACTTAATCATTACTAATTACAATAAAAATCATCATTTCGTTTTTTTTTTTAATTTTCAAAATCTCTCTTTTTAAAATGGATTTAAGATTATAAAATTTTTAATTAAAATTACTATGATAACAATCATTTTACATTAAATTATTATCTAATTACAATGCAATTATTTTTGTTATTAAAATTAACAATTGAATTATTTTTAAAAATAAAATTCTTTTTATAAATCAGTAATTACTTAAATTGTATTTAATTTTTTATGAAATAATCTTAAGGGCCCATCACTAATTTTGTCAAGATGTATACATTTTATATTTTTTCAATAATAGAAAAAATTTTATCTTTTTGAAAGTTTAAATTCTGTTTTAAATTTTTAACATTTTTTTGAAAATTTTTTTTATTCTTTTTTTATAATAAATTATGTAATTTCCAAAAATAAAGTTATTGTTCTTTCTTTTTAATTTTTGAAGTATTGATAAAATTCAATTAATATAATAATCAAAATTGAATGAAACATATTATATTTATTCTATTCTAAAAATATTATGCAACAATATCAATCGACCCCCCCCCCACCACTCATACTTTCAATATGTAATAAAACGTAACATTTTCTCGACCTCTCACCCTTATATTAAAAGGTGTTACGTAAAATATGGATAACTTCATTTTATATATATGTATATGTATATTTAGTATTATTTTATTATTAAATATTTATTTAATTAAAGTTAATTTTTATTTTGCAGCAAGCTTAATTAACTGAACAAAAAATTCATATTTTTAGTAAATTAAAAATTAAATTAAAATAACACATTTTATAAAATATGTAAAATTAGAAAATTATATGTATATGTGCCATTCCATGAGATTTTTTAGTACTTTTCGGAGTAACCTTTCCAAATTAAATGAAACATTTTTTTTATAATATTTATTAATATAGAGGTCCAAAATAATCACTTTTTAAGTAAAAACAATTGTTTATTTAAAAAATACAAGAATAAATAATGAAAAAAATTCACTTTTTTTCTGCAACACCAAATAAATTGGTTTAAAGATCAAAATTTTCCTTATTTCTCAAGCTTTAATACCGCAAAAGAAAAATAATGTATTTCAAAATAGTTAACTCACAATTTATTAAACAATATTTGTTTTCTGTTTTGTATTTTATTTATTGTGAAACGTCTGCTATAGTTGCGCGCGACGTTCCGAAGTTGTCGCTCTCGTTATTGAGCAGAAGCTCATTACACTAGCGTAGTAAAAAACATGTTGTGTGAAAAGTGAGGTTATGTTGTTATTAAACGAAACGTAAACATTTCTGGTTATCACATTGAATGGTTTTTAATTATCTACTATGAAGTAAAAAATTATAAAAAACATTTTTGAAGGATGAAAAACCTCACTTTTCACACAACATGTTTTTTTACTACGCTAGTGTAATGAGCTTCTGCTCAATAACGAGAGCGACAACTTCCGAACGAACGTCGCGCGCAACTATAGCAGACGTTTCACAAGAAATAAAATACAAAAAAGAAAACAAACATTGTTTAATAAATTGTGAGTTAACTATTTTGAAAAACATTATTTTTCTTGTGCGGTATTAAAGTTTGAAAAATAAGGAAAATTTTGATCTTTAAACCAATTTATTTGGTGTTGCAGAAAAAAAGTAAATTTTTTAAAATTATTTATTGTTGTATTTTTTAAATAAACAATTGTTTTTACTTAAAAAGTGATTATTTTGGACCTCTATATTAATAAATATTATAAAAAAATGTTTCATTTAATTTGGAAAGGTTACTCCGAAAAGTGCTAAAAAATCTCATGGAATGGCAGGCACATATAATATTTCTTAATATTTTTAAATAAAATGTACATCAAACTTGACGAGTGGTGTCAGCCCTTGAAAAGAAATTCATTAAAATACTACAATTTTCGTGTATTTTGAATTTTTTAAGAAAAAAGAAAATAAATAAAAAGTTTGTTATTACATCACTACTGAAAAAAATTATATTTAATTCAAATAATCAGTTGTTATCAAATATTTATTTGAACGAAATAATAATTTTATATGAGCCAAATAATAATTTTTTTTGCATCAAATAATACTTTTAATTGCATCAAATAATACTTTTAATTGAACCCAATAATATTTTTATTTGAAATAAATAATTTTTATTTAAAACAAATAAACTGAATTCAAATAAAAAATTTATGTATTCAAAGTAAATTAATTGTTTTTTTTTTTTTTTTTTTTGATAATACTGAAATAAGCAATTATTTGAATTAAATAATTTTTTTCAAAATACAAATGATGATCAATTTTTACATAATTTTATTTAGAAATATTTAAATTTTTGAATTTGACAATAAAATTTTGAACTAGATTTCTGAATTACCGACTGAGAAATTTTTAAATTTAAATTCAATGTAAACACAAAATAAATGAATTACATTTTAAAACTGTCTTTCATTTAATTAAATAAAAAAAAAAAAAAATTGTCACACTTAAAATTCTAAGGCCGATTTTATTTATTTATTTTTTTTATTCGATCATTTTTATTTATTTTTTATCCCCCAACAATTTTTTCTTTTTTTTTTCATCAGAAATTTAATTATATATAAAAATTCACAGAAAATATGTAAAAATTTTGTCATCATACATAATAAGAATCTAAAACGTCTAAGAGCATATAAAAAGAATTTGTCATAGATCGATAATTATCAAAATCATAAAAAATAATTATTTTAAAATTTTTTCGGTTATATAACAAAAAATTATTTTTTTTTTGTATTAAAAAAATGATGATGATGATGATGATGATGATTCGAATCAATCATTTATCTAACGTGTATAATTTTCTGTGTTTCGTCTAGCGAAATTCATGTAGGCGCGCTGATGATTGGTGGAAGAAATTTGTTGTGTGAGTGAGTCAGGTAGCAAACGCGATATTGTGTTTCTATGTAGTCTGTTGAATAACTTGAACTGATGTTACCGATTTTTCATTTTTTTCAATTTTATTTTCGTTAAAAAGCATTTTCTTTTAGGAAACACTCGATCGATGTTTATTATATCCTTATTGTGTTTGTATAGGTTTGCTAATGTACTGTTATATACTATATATATATATATATATCTATCTGTACTCTTTACATAAAAATACCCAAATTTATACAAAAAAAAAAAATTAAATTAAAAATTTTTTTTTAATTAAATTATTAAATTTAATATTTAAAATTTATTATTTGATTATATTAAACTAAAGATTACTTTACGTTTTTTTTCTACTGATTTTTAAAAATTATTATAAAATATATGTAAAAAAAATCATAATTATTGTACTTTTTTTATAAAAAATATTTGAATTTTAAAATATACAGTAATTTATTACTTAGTTTCAATTTCTATTAAGTAAATTTATTTACAACTGAAAGGATGAAATCACTTGGAGGTTTAAAGTGTCAAAATTTTGTAACTAGACTATGAGTACGAGAAGGACAAACATATATATTTATCTCTTTCATACTCATGATCTAGTTACAAAATTTGACGCTTTACGACCTCCTCAATGTGAGTGGTTGGTTGACATTGTCTCCACTCGCCGTTTGTCATAATTCTCGTCAACTACCGCACCCTGATCTAGTGAAAAGTTAGTGACTTTATAGTTACAATTAAAAGTTACTATAAAGTAATTAAATTTTTTACTAGTGCAGGGTGCGGTAGTTGACGAGAATTACGACAAATGGCGAGTGGGGACAATGGCAACTA